CTCTCCTTCAGCTCTAATTTTAATCTTTTTCATTTGAATTAAGCAAAAATATGCAATTTTCCACATAGTAAATATGATTGACAAATTCAAAATAATAGTAAAAATAGAATGCTTTGGTTTGATCTGATATTTCCCTTTGGTCCAACTTGATTTATTGACCACAGAGACAGGATTTAAAGCTCATTATGCAGCAACGAGCCAGAGAGACCTTATCCCATTATTGATTGTTAACAAGCCTAAGGACCTGATTCATCTGTGAGTTTATAAAATTGTCTCCTTTCAACATCTGAGAAAACCACATTGCTTCTTTATTCACATTTCTCTTCTGAAACATTTAGTATAATTATAATAACAACCTTACTCATGGTGTTGCAGCATTTTTTTTAAAGTCAGCCAATGATATCAGGTTCAGGTCAGTGATAACGTGGTGATTTGCCTCTATTACTTTTTACTTGAAGTACATTTTTATTTGGCAACTAATTGCTTTGGTTGTTTGTTTCCATGTGAGGGGATTTTTAATTCTAGGTAAAGTGAAGTTAATGGTTTAAAACACAAACTCAGTTTGAAACAAATATATATTTTATTTAATATAATTAAATGAATATTTCACTTCATTACAGATTGCCACAATAATTAAACTTCTTCATGGTGTTTTTTTTGTTGTGGTTTATTAGTGTTTGTGTCTTTTAAATCTGTCCAGTCCAGACATCTTTTTCCTGGATAATATACAGCCCAAATATGTATAGATGCAGACAGACCTTTTCTCCATCGTCTATCATTGCATCTTTGCCTTTGAAAGATTAGGCCCTACATTTTATTGCACTATTTTTACAAAACAAAATTTAAGCATCTCCTTTTAAGTTATCTGATAGAATAAGATGTAATATTGAGCAGTGCTCCCACATCATGTCCTACATAGCAAAAATAACATTTATTGCAGAAACTATGCATGCATGCAACAGCTCCATGCATGGAGAGCTCCTCCATGATATACTGTCGCTTCCTATGTGCAAAAAGAAGAATTATTGCAGATCCTTCCTCCCAGCAGCTGATATAGCTCCCACTGCTCCCAACAAGCTGAATTTACATTCAATTTCTTTCCTGAATGTGCAATAGTTTCTATTTACTTGTAAATAGTTTGTTGCTGTTTTTATGCAAATCTTTTAGATTTACATTAAGTAATTTTCTTTTCTTTAGTACATTTTCTCCTACTTGCTCCAACTGTGAGGCAATAAGGGTTATTAGTTATTCTATACCATTCTATTAACTGATGCTTTATATTCCATTTGCCATAGTTTATATAACAAAAACTTTAAAATTAGCACATTTTCCAAGTGTGGAAGATGTGGAGATGTGTTTTGTGAAGATAAAGAGGAGACTGAGGTCATTGTAGTAACGGTAATGAGAAGTGCTTTATGTTGCCCACTAGAGTAATAAAAGTGTGAAAGTCCACAGTCATTAGAGTTTCCAGAGTTCAGCTTCATCTTTTTAGTTGACGAATGTCTCTGTAAATAATGTGCTGCTGTCAACCTTTAGCTGAGACCTTTACATCAGAGGAGAGACGAATGAGGAGGTTAGAAAGGAAATCTAATGTTGATTAGAGTCTGTCACAACGGTTTAGCTCTCATTGAACACATTACCAGATGCCCCTGAGGGCAGCAAAGCACTTTGTCATGAGTAAAAGATGCTTTCTTTTACTTCTGCTAATATTATCAACAATTACGAAGTCAAACCACATGACTGGAAATCAATATTCCTCGACAGATTCTCTGAAAAGTAAATTGAGGCTAAATTGTGATGCTTATAATTGCAAACCCAGCCTCCAGAGAGATCTAGAATGTGTTTCATTAGATTGAGCTCCAGCATTGAGGCTGAAAAGGATCAAATAACCTGCAAAGGTTAGAAGAGCAAAGCTTTTGGGATTGTTTCCAAGAAGGCTTAAACCTTGTATTAGTGCAGCTATATTTTGAATGTTTTGCATGTAAACTGGTAGGCAAACAACATGTATCTCTGTTGTTGATAACATCATAAAGTTGAAGTCCTTCAGTTATTCTGCTCATAGGTTAATACCCTCAACTTTTCACTCATGCAGAATTTATAAAACCATTTTCTTGCAAAATGATGGGTCAGCTTTTTATTTTACTTTTTGCATCTACGGACCAAACATTTCCAGGCCACCCTGGGCTGATGCAGCAGTCCGTGCAAAGCATATACTGCACCAAGAGTCAACAAAAACAGATTTTCATTGCTCAGGAGGAAATAGTCATGCATGGCGTGTACCTTTGCTTCCTCTGGTGTTGATCTATTTAGTTTGATGTTAATCAAACAGTTTGATGTGCACATTTCTTCTAAGTATTTTCAAAGCACACATTTTACTAGCATTGTTCTTAGATGTTCATTGATGTACATGTCCGTGCCTTTAGGTTTTCTCCTGGTTGTAAAATGAAGGACAATTGTCTGCAGCGTGTTTTTATTTTTACCGGACAGTATGTGGCAGGCTTGGACATCATTGTTGACAGCAGTGATTCCTTTACTGTCCAAACTCACATCCTTGTTGCTGCAGTGACTGGCTTTCGGTGTCAGTGTCCTCAGCTCCACCCTCGGCGTTTTGGCCGTCACCCTGGCATATGATCTAAGTCTGCCTGTATCTTGTTCTTTCAGGAATTCTGTTCCAGATTGCACCCTGGAACTAATTTCTTAATCTTTTTCTGTGTTCATCATAATTGTCTTTTGCAATTGTTTTTATCTCTGCTGAAAGGATATCGAGAGCATTTTTTAATCTCCTCCACCTCATAAAAAGATACAGATCTCTTTGGCCCCATGGCAGAACATTGTTGTGATCTGTCTTGTAGCCTTTTTTTCCCAAATTAATATACATAGCTGGATCAGATCAAATGGGAAAATGCTGCCAGTGAATCTGCACTCAGCCTCCTCTTACTCCCTCATTAAGGCGCTCTGGAGCTCTCTGATTAGAGGGAGTGTGTGGATTTAATAAAATACAGTGAAATGCATAGTGTCTTCGAGATAATACGAACCCAAATGAGCACCTTTAAAAATGCTAATATTTTAATTTAAAAGGTATATTTATTTTTATGAACAATACTCGGTTTGGGCTCCTGTTGAATTAATTCCTGCATCAGTGCAGCGCAGCATTGAGATCAGGCTGTGGTTCTGCTGAGGTTCAATGGAGGCCCAGGTTGCTTAAATTATAGCCATTATTCTGACAATACTCCATAGATTCTCTAGGAGGTTCTGGTCTGGCCCGTGTGCTTATCACAAAGATTATAGTTATTTTTTTTATGTTGACTATGGTTCGTAACACTAGTTACGTTTCCATTAACAATCAAATTGTAATTATGAAAATAAATACGCTAAATGAGAACACTGCAATAAAAACAAGTTTTTCAATAAAAAGTTTTTACACTTCATTTGGGTGGCGAAAGTATTATTTAAATGACATATTATATAAATTAATACAGCAACTGGAAATGGAAAAACTTTATTTTGCATCACATAATCTCCAAGTGGACCCTACTGCCTTTTAAACAGACATAGAAGATTAATGAGGAGACAAATTTCTACATTTATTTTGCAATGCTGAGCACAATAGCAATAGCACAATAATAGAATGATGACTGAAATATATATATATCTTATAAATTTAGAATTGCCTGCTGCGTTCACATATATCGGGAGGTGGTCGTGAGTTGCTGATCGCCCCTCGTTACCCCCTGTACACTACACGATGCACGATCAGGCTGAAAGTCGGCCCGACAGAAAAATTGTTGCACGACTGGAAAGTCGGCCCGAAAAGTGCAAAAAATCTTCCAGTGTATGCCCTGCTTAACTCTGTTGCAGATACATTTATTTTTCCTACAACAATTCTCCTTGTACTTAATGTTCTACAGTTATTCTTAGTTATGAACCACCAGCTTCTTTAGCAATGATCTATTCCAGCTTCCACTCCTTGTGAAGGAAGTCAGACTGTCTCCTGGACGTCTGTCCAGTCAGCAGTCTTCCCCATGATGTCAGTCACTAAACCCGACTGGGAGAAATTCTCAGGAACCATATGGAGTGTTTTTAAGTTAATCAGCTGATTGGGATGTCACTGTTGTTGTTTTTTTTATTCATTATAAGTCATATTCATCAAATCAGCACAAATTAAAACCTGAAGCATTTCACTATATGTGTAATGAATATATACAATATATGATGTTTATCTTTCAGAAATGAGAAGGTAAAAACATCCAATCTTTTTAAATATCCATATTGTTCTGGATGCACCTCTATGTGAATTAAAAAACAAGAGAATATAAATAAGCTGGGGAAGAACCTGAGGAGGGAAAACTAAGGGAAGTTGACTAAAAAAAAATATGGAGGTCACAAAAGATCCAACAAAATGAAGCTAAAGATGATCAGTGGTAACCAATATACAGAAAAAGGAAATAAAAAACAAAACACAAGAAATAAATAACCAAATAAGAAAAGAGGAATAACCAAACCCCATAAAAATATCTTCTGAATGATGACCAGAGAATAAGCATGAAGATTGAAACATGTCTGTGGATCCTGGGTTAATCTGCAGATTAAGTCAGCCTCAGTGTTACGGCTCCTCTCTCCTCCTGCTTCTCTGCAGCCCACCATCTGTTACCATTGGACTCTCAGCTGCAAATTACTCCACACTGTTTTTTTCCTGAGGCACATCTGTGTGTTTGTAATGTTTGTGGTTTTTATCCATGATCCCTCTCAGCGGACGATGGTGCATCTAATTAACTGACTTATAAACAAATTGGAGTTGATCATTGACCCATATCCCCTCATGCACCCCGCCTCCCCCTTTGGCTCCAGTCAACCCAGCCATGTCCTTGAACTCCTGCTGATTATGCCGACCACTGTGGCGTGCCTCGCTTTGAATGCTTTTTGGTTTTCATTTCTAAAGTGGAATCACCCTGGAAACAACATCAGAATTAAAGGCTGCCTTTACGTTTCTCTTTCTGCAGGCTGTCGATGAGTAGGAGCTCTATGAGGATCGAGAGTTAAAGACCGAGCACCTGAGGCTTCTGGTGAGTTCGCTTTCTTTACCTCCAGGATGTCGGAGCTATTAAAGATTTCAGCATTGATGATGATGAATCAGATCCACCTGAGGTCTGACCCTCAGAGGGCTGAACATATAGAAACAGAGCGACATGTCATCGAGATTCTTCAAATCAACTGATTAGGATACATGTTAATGTAAATGCTGATAGTTTAAATTTGAGTCTAAAGATATTCATGAAAGTTATCCTTAAATTATTTTATAATAATAAGAAGAGTAAAAACATCCCTAGAAGTACTTTAAATATCAGTTAAAGTAAGTTCAATTAAAACCTGTGGGGCTGCTCAATGGAGCAATGGAGAAGTGGGTAGCACTGCTGCGTTGCAGAAAGAAGGTTCTGGATTCGATTCCTGGCTCACGGTCTTTCTGGTTGACATTTGCATGTTCTCCCTGAGCATGCGTGGCTTCTCTCCGGGTACTCTGGCTTCCTCCCACAGTCCAGAAACATGACTGTTAGGTTAATTGGCTTCTTTAAATTCTCCTTAGGTGTAATTGAATGGTTGTTTGTCTTGTTTTATCTTTGTGTTGCCCTGCGATTGACTGGTGACCTGTCCAGGGTGTACCCTGCCTCTCGCCCGTAGACAACTACAGATAGGCAGCAGCGCCCCTGCTTGTGATAAGTGAGACAGAAAACGGATGGATGGATGAAAACCAGTGGGGGCTCATCTACTTTTTCATTAGTTTATATCCATTTCATACTGCGGTGGTCCGTCCAGTAAGGCACAAAGACAAAGGCATATTAAAAAGTATTTTCTATTTATTTCCAAAAAAATCTTCACAAAAGGACTTACATCAAATCTCAAAAAATATATACCAAAATGTGCCCAAAGGAAATCAACTAAGGCATACCTAACTCAGGATAACATACCAAAAAAACTGACCTCCCACAATGAACACAGGGGAATTTATACACAAGGGCTAGCCTACACAAACGAGGAGGGGTGGGAGATGAGACAACAATGCATAAACATAAATAACTAATTCAAACTAACACCTTTTGACTACAACACAACTATCAAAAGAAAACAACATAACACCAAAAAAGGTTTTAACAGAATGCCATAAGTTGAGAGAGAGAAGCAGACTCTAACATCCAGTACCCTGCTTCCAGCAGCCTGATGGTACGTCCCACTTCCTGGTTTGCCTTTCAACCAGTCCTCTCCACTCAGCCAGTCCTTCAAACTCAGCAAAGAAAAGTAGTTAATTCAAATAAACAAAAGGTGTTCACTAAATGTGTGCACCCATAATAGTTAACATCCTAATGCCAAAAAAACACCACAAAAAAAGTGAAATTATAATGTATTGTGTGAAGACCTTTAAACAAATAAAAAAATACTAACACAAAGGAAAAGATGGAGGAACCTCCACAATTACATTGTCAAGCAGACCTTTTTAATGAACCTTTTGATCTCTTTAGAAGCTGCTTTTTTCCCTGTTGAATATTTTGGAATATTTATATCATTTTTATTGGTTATTTAACCAGGATTTCCCCATTGAGACGAAGATCCTCCTTTTAAAGAAAGCCCTGGCCAAGACGGGCACCAAAACTTACTGTACATTACAATTAACATACATTTATAAACAATTACAGTTTAAGGAGGTTTTCTCCGTTGGTCTTAGTCCGAACTTAAAAGTGTTCAGTGTAATAAAATCAGTCAGTTTTCAGTCTTTTAAAAGTTTTTTCTGTGGAGATGGAGCAGAGTGAACACAAGTTTTTTTTTTTTGTTTTTTTTCCCCAGCTCTGAGCAGGCAAATGGAAAAGAGAGCAATACATTATAATTTAAACACAAAGAATAAGAGTCAACACTTCTCTGTGTGATCAAATTACAGATGTGGGAGTGCAGCAGACCGAGCACGACCTTCTAGATAAAAATGTACCAGGGTTTCAGCCTCCGGATGGAAAAACAAGGCCATCCCACACAGGAGTACAGCTCACAATGGTGTGTCAAGGCTCTACAATTAGTAATAAACCTCAGAGAAGCATGATAAATAGAAATACATCTGAATCTTTCTTATGATTTATTCTAATTGTATATATTTTTTAAGGTCTTTCATTACATCACATCAATTTATGTTCCCCATGCAGAAAGCTAATGTTTGGAGATAGTTTGGCTTTGCAATGAGAGGGATAAAGGTAGGGATAGATAGCTCCATGTTATCATTCTGACTAGAAGTTGGAGTCTGACCTTGAGAACTTACCAACAATCTGAATCTGAACTTTTCTTAACTTTTTTTTCCACTTCTATTTGTGTTTTGCGCTAAAAAAATCTATAACTATTCTCCTAATGCTGAAGAAATTAGAGAAATTTAAGTAATGAGATAATTAAGTGGTAACTGAGGAGCCCCGAAGGTCTAAAGCAAAGAATTCTGGGTAAGAGTGATGGAATTGGCTCATTAGTTGTATTCTGCAGAGGTTCGGTCATGTTGTGATGAATTAGCAGCTCTTTTGGGGTCATTTGGTTTGGGGTTTTTGCTCTGGTGGGTTTTGCCATTGGCCAAAATTGCAGAGAGTGACATTAATGAATGATTGCAGCGTATGTGCTTGGTTTACTCAAGCTTTTATTCTATTTTGTGTTACTTCAGATCTCCATTGGAAAATGTTCCATGCTCTGTCTCCATAGACCCCCAACCATCTACTTCCACTATAAAAACAATTCCATGCAGGTTTTCTCAAACCCAGAGTTCTACCATCTTATCATTGATGATCTGCTCATGTATCTGACATCAGTAAGGATTGTTTGGACTCTATAAAACTTACTGAAGAGGTTTATATGCAGCTGGAAGGTAAACAGGACCAACTCTGGCTCTGCTGGAGCATAAAGCAGCATTTAGCCTTCACCATTAAGCAAGCAGACTTTATCAGAATGTGTTGTGTGGAAGAAAACATGTTAGTGTCAACGTTGAATGAACCCGAATCTGCCAGATGTGACTCAGACAGATGTTCTGAAAAAATGCAGTGTGTGTTTGAGGGTGTGGGCTCATGTGTTTGAACTTTTTCACATTTACGTCTCCTTTCCCTCTTCATCATTTTTGACTTCATCAAGTCGGAGCCTGAAAACTTATGAAAAACAGAGCAATTCAAAACTCTTCCAGTTTGAGTTTTATGTTTTTCTTAGGACTGGTAAAACCGATCAAGTGTGAACCTGTTTTAGATCTATTTTAATAAGTTCTGATTGTTAAAATCTCTGGGCGGGCAAATGGGGGAATCATCTGTGTAATACGTATGCATTATTGCTGGTTAAAGAAATCCTATAATAACGCTAATAGATAATGATAAATCTGAAATATATATTCAATGAATTGGAGTGCACCGGTTGCACTGACAGGAAGTTTAACAATGTGTCACTTTTGATGTATAAACAGTGAGATTTAAGCCAGTTTTAAACTATGCTCTGGGTTTTGTAATTTCTTGTAATAATGGTGGCACTGGGGCTGGCCTATTTGTTCACTCCACACTCCTGCTCAGCTTCACCTCACCTGCAATTAACTCTAAACTGGCTTCACCTGTTTCCACCTGCTTATAAGCCCCATTCAGATAAGCTAGCAGTGCCAGATCGTCTGGAACCCACCAGTGAAAACCTTCCAGCCATTCTTTTTGCAAACCTGTCTGCCTGTCTGTTGTCCAACCTGATCTGCTTTCTGTTAGCGAGCCTGCCTGTCCCTGTTTTGCCTCTTTTTGCCTATATGGAAACTTGATCAGATCTGTCTCTGGACTTTGGAGCCAGTTTTTCCAAGACTGCCTGTCTGTAAGCCTGCCTCCAGGGGCTCCTGTCCGAGCGCCAGCAGCGTGTCCTGCACATTAAATGCTTCCCCTGGTTTTTCTTCAATAAAGCTAGTCACTGACCTGTCCTGGTTAAATCTTGGGTCAGATAGTCGTGCATTACATCTGTGTGCTCAGATCAATGACATTTGTTGAGATCTAAGATACATAGCCCATACCTGCTATAAATTCAATCTGTTGTCATATATTTTAGTCTGCAAAAATCGCAGCTTGTACTATGACTTTATCTATTTTACTTTGAGATGAAAAATTAAAGATGTCACTGAGTAATCTGCAGGCAGAGATTACAGTTCAGTTTATCAAGCTGTGCACAAGGACTGCAGAAACTGAAACCACAGCTGAGGAATCAGTGAGCATAGATTGCAAAACTGAGCGCACAGTTTGGTGAAGTTTGAACACGGATTTCCAACAGCTCTGGGGGTTTTTTAAGCCGTTGACGCTGGCTTGGCTCTGTGGGAATCTTTCCCGAGTGCATTTCAAAGTCTGATAGAGGATAGAAAACTAGGATGATGCATTCTTTGTGGTATATAACATCTGCGTAATTTTAGCTGCAGGAGGTAAAAGAAGAAGAAGAAAAGGCAGAGGTTATATAACACATTTTTAATGAGGGAGTCATTAAAAAGTATTTAAAGCATAAAATATATATATTTAAGAATTTATCAAGGGTAAATTTATATCTAAATCTTTTGTTCATATATTTTTAGATATTTCAGGACACATATCGCCTTTGACTCGGTAAACTGACTCCTTTCAGCTGCTGGCACATGGACTTGTCAGAGTTTCAACACAGGACGCCCTTCCTTAAGGAGTTATAGCCACGTTTGATGCTTAAAAACAAACACTTTAACCGCTGTACCAAAGGGGGATGCTGTTCACAGTAAATATGGAATCAAAACTCAGACAAAATCCTGAGAAATAAGCAGCGAGACATAATGATTGTATAAAACCACAGATAAAAACAAACAAGGTCACAAAATTATTTCAACCTTACCTAGGATTGCCTATGTGATTTTCAATAAGGATTCATACACCTCCAAATTACAGCAAATATATGCTGAGTGCAAGGAAGCACCATCACACGTAGGGTGCAAGAACCATTGCCCACTTGAAATGAGTGAGCTGCTGCTTTTTGATATGGATGCTTGACCCATTTTAGCATCAAAACCTTTTTGTTCTACTGCCGCCCT